TGGCTGCAGTCCAATAAAGCTACTTATGAACACTGAAATTTGAATTTAATGTAATTTCCACAAGTCGTGAAATATTATTCTTTTTAATTTTTCCAGCCATTTAAATATGTAAAAGCCATTTTTATCTCTCAGGCTGTAGAAACACAGGCAGCAAGCTAAATTTAGCCAGCTTCTCAAAGTGTGGCCCATAGTCCAGCAGCATCGACAGGACCCAGGAGCTTGTTGGAAATGCAGAACCTCAAGCCCAACCCTAGATCCTCTGAGGGAGAATCTGCATTGTTAACATCACCCTGTGTTTGGTTTACTCATCCAGTTTGAGAAGCACTGGTTTAAGGTCTGCACAGACTGTAGTCAGTCCCTGTGCTGCAGCTTCCCAGAGAAATGACCCTGGGAAAGTTCTAAACCTCCCTGTGCCTCAGTTTCCCCATGTGCAAGATGAAGATGGTAGCATCATCTTCAAGCACGGTTGCGCGAATTCACACACACACTCATACACACATACAGGGCTCACAACATTTATCATTACTATTATGAAATCTTGTGTTATTTTAACTGCCACCTTCTGAAACAGGCAGTGTTTGTCTCATTTCATAGAAGAAACTGTAGCTTGGAGAATGGAGAAACTCATCTCGGATCACAATTTAGTCCTGAGGATAATGAAAGTTTCAAAGGTACAAAAGGGAAACAAACTCCCAGCCTCCCAGGTCCCCAAGCCCATGCTTCCGTCCTGAGGGTCTGCTCCAAGGCCTCTTTTAACCCACATTCCTTAGATGTTCCCTAAGAATCTCTCTGCCACACAGGGATCTCCCTGAATCTATACCCCAAGTTGTCCTTCCACTCCTAGAAATTTATGTTCCATTAAGTTGGATAGTGTTTTTTACAGCTTCTCTTTCTAGTTATAGGTTATAAATTTTCCCTCTGCTGAGTCTTATAACTGACGGACTGTTTTTCATTGTATTTGTTACAGGGCTCAGAGAAAAAAAAAAAAGGCAATCCCTTTATCTGAGAATCCTGACATTTATTAGCATAATAAAACTCTCAAGATGAAATTGCAGTTTTCCAGACAGTAATTTCATTTGTGGGACAACTTACAAGGAATTTAGTTTAAAGCCAGGTAAAATCTAAAATATACGAGACATGCAGAAAGTGCAGGCCCCAAATAAAGTGAAATAAATGTGTTAGGGATGGAAAACTCAGCTGTTGTCACTCACATATTAAATAGGAGGTGACAGAAACAATGGCCCAGTTCTCGACCCCTCTAGGTCTACTTTCAAAGCTGCTGCTAGTTGTTGAAACAAGAAGTTTCTTCCAACACCTTGAAAGTCCCCACATCACATTCCCCGACACGTCACTGCTAAGCATGACTTTGTTGTTGCAGTTCTGTAGTTGACGTCAGCAACACCTTTCATGTGGAAAGAGCTTTCACATTGATCATTTAACTGACCTGCCAGAAAACCTAGTGATGGCCTTACAGAAAATTTTCTTCTCAGTTATACTGAGGTTTAGTGGGGTCAAATGATTTGAAGAAAGTCACATCGTGGGTAAGTAGCAGAACTAAAACTAAAACTTGGTTCTTCGGAGTCCTAATAGAAATAAAGAAAAAAATTTTAAGTTGTATTTTACATATAACTACACATGATAATAGTACATATTTGTGGGGTACAGTGAGATGTTTCAATGCATGTGTACATTGTATAATGATCAAATCAGGGTAATTAGCATATCTGTCACTTTAAACATTTATCATGTCTTTGTGATGATAACGTTCCAAATCCTCTCCTCTAGAATCCCCTCCTCTAGAAATAAGGTAATTTTAATAATAATCAGTTATGGTTTTAAAGCTCTTTAGAGTTCAGATTGCAGGTTCCCTACATCACTTCACTTTACCCCATCAGTGAGACGGGCAGGCAGGTAGGGAGCCATGGAGCTGAGTTGCAAAATCGGTATTATTGAACACACGTGTATGATGGGTCTTTACCCCAGGTTCCCCAAAAGACAGAGCCTGTGGCAAAATTTGATTCCCTTATTCAGGAGTGCAATCCCAGAGGAGGAGAGAGGGGGGATGAGGCAGGGGAAAAACCAACAGGGGTGTCAGGCTGATCTGGCCACTGCTTGATTTCATCGTGACTGGTGGCTTGATCTTGCAGGACTATCTTCTAAGAGGCCGTCTGAAGAGCTGCCTCTCAGAACAGTCCCTCAGGAGGAAGAAGGGAGAAAAACGACCTATCAGCTTCGGACTCTCATGACTCTAAGGTTCGCCGCGTGGGGCGTTAACTTCCCGGCCCTCTGTCTTCTGCCCCTGCAGCAGCGGATGAGAGGCCCACAGCACACATGGAGTGCGGGGCCACTGGCTTATGCTCACATGAGGTTGATCCGCACAGCGAAGAGCAGAGTCTATGCGCAATCGCTTACAGAGATGCTGGCTGGGGGCAAGCAAGTGGCCAAGAATCTGAGAAATAGGTGAGGAAAGAGGTGAAGTGGAGCATAAGAGATGTTTGATACAGCCATCAAACCAGAACCATCTCCCCAACACCCCTAGAGTCCATGTATCCTTTCACTCTCAGCAAATACCACGTTGCAAGCATTATGATGCTAGTGTCAGGGTAAGGATTTGAGCCCGTCTTCCTGACTCCAGAGCCTGTACTCTTCCCATCATAATATGCTGCCTCTGTGTATAAGGCCATAAACATGGGACACAGTATACACAAAGAGACACCATCCCTGAGAGTTACTGAGGAGTTAGCGGGAGAGAGTGTTCTTGTTAATATGAAGAACATACTCAGATTCGGTGGGCAGTAGCATCAAGATCAAAAAGAGAAGAGCAGAGCTAGTCATCTGAATAACCTGCAGGAAGAGGGCCACATCCTAGAGAGCAAAGGCCTCATCAGATGTCTAAAAACCATTCTTGGATTTACAATTCACCCCTGGTGTTGAGCACATCTGCAGGAAGACATGAAAACANGCTCTTTAGAGTTCAGATTGCAGGTTCCCTACATCACTTCACTTTACCCCATCAGTGAGACGGGCAGGCAGGTAGGGAGCCATGGAGCTGAGTTGCAAAATCGGTATTATTGAACACACGTGTATGATGGGTCTTTACCCCAGGTTCCCCAAAAGACAGAGCCTGTGGCAAAATTTGATTCCCTTATTCAGGAGTGCAATCCCAGAGGAGGAGAGAGGGGGGATGAGGCAGGGGAAAAACCAACAGGGGTGTCAGGCTGATCTGGCCACTGCTTGATTTCATCGTGACTGGTGGCTTGATCTTGCAGGACTATCTTCTAAGAGGCCGTCTGAAGAGCTGCCTCTCAGAACAGTCCCTCAGGAGGAAGAAGGGAGAAAAACGACCTATCAGCTTCGGACTCTCATGACTCTAAGGTTCGCCGCGTGGGGCGTTAACTTCCCGGCCCTCTGTCTTCTGCCCCTGCAGCAGCGGATGAGAGGCCCACAGCACACATGGAGTGCGGGGCCACTGGCTTATGCTCACATGAGGCTGATCCGCACAGCGCAGAGCAGAGTCCACGTGCAATCACTTACAGAGGTGGTGGCTGGGGGCAAGCAAGTGGCCAAGAATCTGAGAAATAGGTGAGGAAAGAGGTGAAGTGGAGCATAAGAGATGTTTGATACAGCCATCAAACCAGAACCATCTCCCCAACACCCCTAGAGTCCATGTATCCTTTCACTCTCAGCAAATACCACGATGCAAGCATTATGATGCTAGTGTCAGGGTAAGGATTTGCCACGCTGCAAGCATTATGATGCTAGTGTCAGGGTAAGGATTTGAGCCCGTCTTCCTGACTCCAGAGCCTGTAATCTTCCCATCATAATATGCTGCCTCTGTGTATAAGGCCATAAACATGGGACACAGTATACACACCACGTTGCAAGCATTATGATGCTAGTGTCAGGGTAAGGATTTGAGCCCGTCTTCCTGACTCCAGAGCCTGTACTCTTCCCATCATAATATGCTGCCTCTGTGTATAAGGCCATAAACATGGGACACAGTATACACAAAGAGACACCATCCCTGAGAGTTACTGAGGAGTTAGCGGGAGAGAGTGTTCTTGTTAATATGAAGAACATACTCAGATTCGGTGGGCAGTAGCATCAAGATCAAAAAGAGAAGAGCAGAGCTAGTCATCTGAATAACCTGCAGGAAGAGGGCCACATCCTAGAGAGCAAAGGCCTCATCAGATGTCTAAAAACCATTCTTGGATTTACAATTCACCCCTGGTGTTGAGCACATCTGCAGGAAGACATGAAAACACTGCCTCAATATTGCAAAACCAGGACCAAGGTTTGATTCAAAGACAGAGGAGGGTGGCAGAAGAAGAGGTTAAATAAGAAAGGCTGAGCAGTACTAATCCCCAGTTCTGGAAGCTGGGGCTTGGAAGCCTTAGGTAATTCCAACTGTAATATCAGTGAGTGTAATAATGAACATTGTGAAAGACGCAGCATCTATGTCCTTTATGTAAATCCTTCACAATCTTTCTGCTATTACCTCCATGACTTTATAAAGAGTGATAGGTAAGAAATAACATACTAGAAACCATTGCTGATTGGTGTTGGAAAACTTTCAGAAGGAGTGCATTTATTCAGTAAGCATTTATTGAATGTCTAGCATATGTTAAATCTAGGGTTCGGCACTGAAATTATTTTGGATGATTAAAACATGATCCATGTGCTCTAGGAGCTCAGTTTAGGATAGCCGTGACAAACAGGCTTTGTCTTCTGAGGTCATAGCTAAACTCTTCACAAAAGAGTTGCATCAGCTGTTAGCAGTTTCTGTCCTGAGCACTGAGATGGGGCCAATGGCACACACGCCATACATTGCATGTTCCTTGAGACATACTAATATACTTGTTCCTCTGATGATGGTGAATCTTCCGGAAAATCATAGGGATTTGAATCAGGAAGTTCTTAAGCTGAATTCGAAAAAAGGATGTCCAAAAGAATCCAATTGATAAGGAGAAAAAAAATCATTCAAATAACGCATGGTAATCTGGTGGGCTGTCCCTCTGTCCACAGGGTTCCTGCAGCAACTCTCCCCCTGAAACAGTGATAATTTCCTCCTAAAAGGGGGGAAGAAAGGAAATCCGTTTATAATCAAGAAAGGGAAATAAACACCCACCAGAGAGAGACCAGTTCAAAACAGAGATACTAAGAAACTGCATCTGCCTCCCCCTTACTCAAATTTTTAGAAATGATACGGGAAAAAAATGCCTTTAAAAGTAAATAAATCCATGAAAGTACTGGGAAATAAGAAGCAAGGCCATCAATAAAGCAAAAATGTTGAGGAATTCTTGAAAAACAGAAGATGCACAGGCTGAGATTGCCAGAGAAGTTAATGTGGGGCTCAGCTAGGGCAAGTTGGGGACAGGGTGGGGACCTCCAGGCAGGTGTTTGTCTCAGGCAGATCAAGAAATGAGGAGACGCACACAGTTGCTTGGGAGACTGAAGAGACCCCAAAAGTTCAAACACTCTCATGCCGAAAAGATGCGCACTCGATAGCAACTCCAGCCCTACAGCACGGAGAGCCTGCATTTGGAAAACAGAAACTGTACCTACTCGTGGGTAAAGAAAACGTTTAAACTTGGAAGATCACCTCATAGCCCAAAATATATACACATTTAAGGAAAATCATAATCATAAATGAAAGATGCCAAACTCAACAACTGGACTGTTTCCCAAGAAAATATCAAGTTTATAAAACAAACAGAAGGAGCCTTTAAGAGATGTGTATTGATCTCCTCAGCAGAATAAGAAGATAATTCATCCATAAAACAGGAACGAGCTGTTGGGGTTTTTTGTTTTTTAAAAAGAATCAAAGAAAATGAAAATGAAAAGCATGATCATTTAAACTAAAAAGAAAAATTTCAGTAGAACTGAAGAGCAGAATGGACACAACTAAAAAGCAACTTAGTAGCAGAAAGAATTGTCGCATCAGTAAGGAGACAACTAAACAGAAAAGTGGACCAGGGATATGAACAGATGATTCACAGAAGAAATCCAAGTGGCCATTAAATACATGAAAGATCCTCAGAATCAGTGCTAATCAGAGAAACGCAAGTTAAAGAACAGTGAGATACAGTGTTTGCCCATCTAATGGGAAGAAATGAAATGACTGATAATTCCCAGTGTTGGCAGTGGTGTGGGGAAACAGCCTCGTATAGTTTTGGCAGGAACATGAATTGGCAGCACGTTTTGGGGAGGCAGTCTGGCAGATCTTTTCTAATGAAAATGTGCATACTCTTCTCTCCAGCAATTCCATCTGGGGATCCATCCTAGAGAAATGCTGCACATGTCTACACAGTGACACATACGGGGAAATCTCTGCAGCACTGTTTGTGACCATGAAACACGGGGCACCAGAGAAGTGGCCATCAAGAGGAGAATGGCTAATGAAACTGTAATATACATCCATACCGTGGAATTCCACAGGACAGTTACAAGGGCTGGTATATGTACTGACATGGGAAGATCTCACAGACATAGTTTAATAACAGCTAGTGCATCGTGACAACTTACAAGTGTCAATTATATTTTTCAGCACCTTACGTAGTCATATCTCATTGAAACCTCATCGTGACCTTAAGAGGGAAGTACTGGTATATGTACTGACATGGGAAGATCTCACAGACATAGTTTAATAACAGCTAGTGCATCGTGACAACTTACAAGTGTCAATTATATTTTTTCAGCACCTTACGTAGTCATATCTCATTGAAACCTCATCGTGACCTTAAGAGGGAAGTGCCATTATTAAGCCCATCTTACTCAGGAGGAAACCAAGGCACAAATGTTTAAGTAGCTGCCCAAAGTCACACACAGTAATGAAGCTGGAATTTGAAACTCAGCAGCCTGATTTCAGGGACCATGCTTTTTAAAACTACCCACGACTGCAAAAGCTTCTCTAACCATGGGGTTGCCTGCTACACTTCAGCAAACTTGGAAGCAGCCAGAGGGCTGACTAGAAGGTCCTCAAGAGAGGCATTCCTGGGAATGAGGGGGCTGGGGGGTAAGACATGGGCTTGGAGTGACGGCTGATCAGTGGCCCCTAAGTGTCGACAGTAGTGAGCACTCAGTACTCCAGGTGAGAAGAAGCCTGGGGACCAGGGTCAGAGGTGCACGCGTGCCTCAGAGGCGAGTCAGGAAAGAACAGCGGGCCCCAGAGCCTGGTCTAGACCTCCTCTGGTCTCTGTGTCTCTGCAACCCTCCAGCCCTGTGGCCTACGGACTGCAGCCTCGCTGCACTGGCTTTGCTGTCTCTTTAGCTCAAGTTTCCACCAGTTTCACCCCCAGCTGGCACCCCTAAGAAGGATACCTTGTGGAAATCAATGAGATCTGTGAGCGTTGCATGGCGATTGGGGTCCACTCCCAGGAAGCTGTAAAAATCCCCAGAGGCATCCACGAGAAAGTGCTTGAATCCCTTCTGCAGGCGGTAGGAGAGGGTGTAACCCCAGATTTTCTCACTGACCCGGACCAGAAATGCCCCCTCAGTCATGTTCTCCAGGAGATCTTCTGCATCTTCTCGGCTAATAATTCCTGGTTTAAAAGAGAAAAAATAAAAATAGAAAAATGTCCTCAGGTTCTGCAACCCTCCTTTTCCTCCCTCCCCCCGGCCGCTGCCCCTCACCCTGTGGCTCAGTCCACAGGCCATCCAGTCAGGGTGTCAGAAAGAGGAGGGTGTCAGGGGCTGGCCAGCGTTTGCCGCGTTCCACAGAGGGGGCATCTTGGCCCACAGCGACCAGCCGCGAGCCTGGGGCAGAGTTCCTACTAGCACCTGAGTTGAGCACGCTCTCCTCCAAGTTAAGCCACACGAATGTGGATTAATTGGGTAAGCAAGGAATTAGTAATGAGCCAGAATTATAGCATCTATTGATCACAAATACAAGCCAACAGGCTCTCTGTGGAGAGCCTTCAGAATCCAGCTTTAGTGACTAGACCAGAATGACAGGCGATGAAGCCTCACTTATCATGCTCGACTGCGAATGAGCATCCGAAAACAGCATCTCTCCTTAAAATGTAAAAAGACCTCCTCCAAATACCTGTGGACACTAGGCAAAAAGCTTCTTAATTGGGCCGTAGAATTAAGCTTCACTTCTGCTCAAAGAACAAAACTTTCTACGGTTCCATATGGAAGTCAGATCTAGCCTTGGAGTTGTTTGTATGTTGATAGCAAATCCCAAAATGCTTTCAGGGAGCCACTCTCATCTGGATGATGGGGAGAGGTGACGCGTTTGGTAGATCAGGCTCTGGGGGGTGGGGAGGTGGGAAGAGCAGCAGGAGTCAGAAGACCCGGATTCTCTCTCCAGTTCTGCCCTCATGTGGCTGCGGGATCTTCAGCCAAGTCCTCGACATCTCCAGTGTCCTTCGACATTTAAGTGATCAGAACCCATCTACTTCAAAGGCACATGATGGCTTTCTAGTGAGATAAAGAATTCAAAGTCATTTTATACACTGAGAATAGTTGTAGAAATGCTGGGTCCTGTAGTCATCTGTTATTTGGGGGGGAAGGTGAATTGCAACACGTCATCCCATTACACAGCCACTTGTTTGGGGAACCCATCTACTTCAAAGGCACATGATGGCTTTCTAGTGAGATAAAGAATTCAGAGTCGTTTTATACACTGAGAATAGTTGTAGAAATGCTGGGTCCTGTAGTCATGTTATTTGGGGGGGAAGGTGAATTGCAACACGTCATCCCATTACACAGCCACTTGTTTGGGGTTATTTCAGTGGGATTATTGACTGTCAGTGACAGCAGAGGAGGAGGAGGAGCTGGGCTGCAGGTGTGTGAGAGGCACTACACACCTGCGACTTCTCTCTACTGGGTCCCTGATGTCACTCCAAGCTTATCTGCAGTCAGACTCCCCTGCCACTGCTCTCCTACCTAATGGGACAAAGGCAGGACTTTCCTTATGCCCAGAGCAGAGGATGCAGAGAACCATGCTGTCAAATGCCCCACGACCAGGGGCCACTTATGTCCTCCCTGCCCAGGACTTACAGCAAGAGGCGATCAAGCCAGCCACCCCCTCCAGGGTGTGCCCAACCGGGCTGCAGAAGTAGGAAACCAGGGAGAGAAAGGGAGGGGAGGAAGGGGGAGCCCTCCCACCACAGGGCACACAAAGAATTACATACCCTGCCATGCAGGACGCACCCTGGTCCTGCCCCCTGGGGGGGCCCTGGTGGCTTCAGCCAGAGAAACAGTGACAGCCAAAAGAGAACAGAATGGCAATATCCAGGATCCGTCCAAAGACTAGGCACTGTCTCCCACTCACCTCCATGCCCCTACACCAGAGGACCTAGGCCCCAAAGGTGGCTGCAGAGGGGAGATAAGTAAGGGGAGTAGAAGCAGGGGCGGGGGTTAGAAGGACCAGAAGATGTCACCGTGTCCCCACTCCAAGCACTCAAGCTGAAGCACACACAGCCTGGGAGGGGACTGGAGAGGGGAAAGTATTGCATACAGGAGGAGACTTAACCGTCAAATCTGAATAGGACCCGACCTTCCTTTATTTTTGTTTTTTTCTTTTAAACAAGTGTCTATATTTTAATTATTTATATTTTTGATTGACAAATAAAAATTGTATGTATTTATGGTGTACAACGTGACGTTTTAATACACATATACACTGTGGAATGGCTAAACAAGCTAATTAACACATGCATTTCCTCGCCTGCTTGTCACTTTTTTGTGGTGAGAACACTTAAAATCTACTCTCTTAGTAATTTTCAAGTATACAACGTATCGTTAGTAACTACAGTCACCATGATACGCAACAGATCTCTTGAGTTTACGCCTCTGATCTGACTGAAACTGTTTGTCCTTTGGTCAACCTCTCCATCTCCACCCTCCAGCCCTGGTAGCCACCGTTCTACTCTCTGTTTCTGTGAGAGTTCGACGTTTTTAGACTTCACATGTAAGTGATCTTGTGCACTATTTGTCTTTCTGTGCCTGCCTTATTTCACTTAATATAATGTCTTCCATGTTCATCCATGTTGTACAAATGACAAGATTTCCTTCTTTTTAAAGGCAAAATCGTATTCCATTGTGTACATACACTGCATTTTCTTTACCTGTTCATCCATTGAGGGACACTTAGGTTGATTCCACGTTTTGGCGATTGTGAATAACATGGCAGTAAACATGGGAGTGCAGGTATCTCTTCGACATACTCATTTCATATCCTTGGGTTATATGCTCAGTAGTGGGATTATCATAGGGTCACTGCATTATTAATTTCTTGAGGAACCTCCATACTGTTTTCATAATGCTATACTAATTTACATTCCCACCAACAGTGTGTGCCAGGGAGAATTTTCTCCACATCCTCTCCAAAACTTAACTTTGGAACTCCACTTTTTAATGTCCAAAAATGTTCAGTAAAATTAAAATGACCATGTCATGTCTTCCCCCAGCTAAAGCCCCTGAGCGGCTTCCCTCTGACTTCCAGCCAAGGTCAGGCTCAGGACAGTGGACACCAGGCTCCCTCGCCTCACCTCCCTCTGTGGACTTATCGCCAGCTCACCTCCTGGACGGTGACCGGCTGCTCACCCACAAGCCCTCCCTGGGCTGAAGCTACATCCTCACTCCCAGCCCCCTTTGCCCCAGCTGACCCTGACTCCTTACGGAAGATCCCGGTCCTTTTCTCTCCCAGGCTGCTGGTAGCCTATGCTCTACCTTCCTGCAAGTTAGAAAAAGATGACCCCTGAGTGGTTTGATTAGAAAAAGATGCCTCTCTGGGCCAAAATAGCAAAGCCTATAGCTTGATTGGGGAAGGGTGTCTGCATGTCAATCCCCAGCTCTACCCAACTAGCTCTGGGCAGGGTCCCTTTATTCGTTGTAAAACCTGCTCAACCGATCAGGAAATCATCTACATCCCAGGAGGCTGCCTTGGATATCTCACCTGTGGGTTTACACGAGATACTTTCCAAATCCTATGGGAGGTTACTAAACAGGCTGTGAACTGCTCAAGGCTAGAGCCTGCGGATCAGGAAATCATCTACATCCCAGGAGGCTGCCTTGGATATCTCACCTGTGGGTTTACACGAGATGCTTTCCAAATCCTATGGGAGGTTACTAAACAGGCTGTGAACTGCTCAAGGCTAGAGCCTGCGGCAGCTGTGGGAGCAGACGGCCCAGGCGTCCCTCCAAGATACCTTGCGAGGAGCAGCCGCGTGTCCATCGGGATCCAGCATGCAGGCCTGCTCTCCCCAGGATGCTTCCAGCCAACAGCTGAGCACCAGCCTGCCTAATGAGGCTCCCCATCAGCCTGGCTAAGATTTTCTCAAGCGGCACTCCAGAAGCAGGCTCCACTTACCCAATTGTCCTTCTCTCTGTCCCTCCATGGTGTCAGACCCGCAGCTCGTTCTGAAGACTCTCCCCACCTTCTCCCAATCCCTCTCCCCTTTGTCTTTCATGGGCATTTCCTCCAATCACTCTCTTGTGCTTCTGCTTCCCAGAAGACCTGAACCGACACAGAAACCTTATCCTGTCTTTATATCCTGAGTGCCTGGGATGTTGGGAAGCAAGTCTGGAGCAGTGATCAGGAGCATGGACTCAGTCCCAGCTCAGGGACTTGTTCTGTAGGTGGTCTTCGGCAGGTTACTTACACCTCTCTGAAACCCACTTTGGTGTCCTCATCCATTAAGTGGTACTGATAATAATACCTATATCACAATGTTGTTTGAGAACTAATAAGTTACTGCATGAATATGCTTAGCACAGAGCCTAAGAACATAACGAACATCTAGCATACTATAACTGGATGCACCGGATACGCTCCGTATCCTACACGTGTGTTAGTGTTGGAGGCTGCTTGTGCTGGGAGCAGCCATGGTCATCGTACTGCCAGATCTTGCTGCGCGTGCCCGCCCACATCCCCACACATGCTCGATCCTGAAAACACAGGCTGCTGAGGGAATTTCCTCCGAAGGGGCCCCAGCCTGTGCGATAAAGTTAGCTGGGCCATTCCTTGGAGGCTCCGGGTGCCTCAAAGGGTACGCATCTGTGAATTCTGCTTCCTCTTCGCTATTTGTCTAGAAATTGTAATTTGGCACAAGACCAGAAGTAAATCGACCTCATAGTTCAGGACAGCAAAGAGAGTTTCACAGAAAGCCCAGCCCCCAAGGGAATTAGTGTAGGATGCTTGCCAAAAAGCTGCTGTTTTCCTGCCTCACTCACTCTTCCCTCCCCATCTCTCTCCTGCTGGGTTGCCTCTCGGCCAAGTGCAGAGTGGCCGGGAAATAAGCATTAATCACTACCCGCCCCTGGAATTAGTGTAGGATGCTTGCCAAAAAGCTGCTGTTTTCCTGCCTCACTCACTCTTCCCTCCCCATCTCTCTCCTGCCGGGTTGCCTCTCGGCCAAGTGCAGAGTGGCCGGGAAATAAGCATTAATCACTACCCGCCCCTGCCACCTCCAGATCTTCTAAAGATTCTTCGCCCTCCTGGCTGAGGACACAGGGGAGGGCCCACCTCGCACCTTCCAGCTGGGGAGCGAGCACTCTGCCAGCATCACGAAAGCTTTCTAACTCTGCTG